AAAATCACAACCAAAAATAAAACTATGAGGCAATGAAGGTACTACAATAGCACTGATAACTTGACATGAACCATCAACGACTAAAGGTAGATCGACTACACCAACTATTTTCTTTTCAGTATTGTCTGCAGTACTAATTGACAAATGAGTTGGTTCCCTAATATTCAAATTTAGATTCTCAATAACAGGAATACCAGCAGCTCCAATAACTGTAGATGTACTTCCAAAATCTAAAAGACCACAAATTTCAACGCCAAGAATTTCTACTAAAATATAAGGTCTGTTATCAGATACCTTAGGACAAAAAAGAGGAGAAACTTTATGATTGGTAGTGGTGGATCTATAAAAATTTTTAACACATAATAACCACTTTTTCCAATCAGATTCTGAAAATAAATTTCTGGGTTTGAATTTTTTTTGAACTACATGACCAGAAACACGAGTTCGTCCGATTAGTTTTTTGAACATTTTGGACACGCCGGTGATTTAACCCCTAAATTACCACATTTAAAACAAAAAACCCTACGTTTCTGTCGACAATCATGAAACGTATGATTCGGACCAGAACAATTCCAACAAACTAAACGCGAAGCTGTTTCCTTACCTGAATTTTCTACAGATCGGGGCATACTCGAAGTATTTACCATATCAGGGTCAGAAGACGACGACGCTACAGCAGAACAAGGAGACCTAGCAGTAGTATTTTTATTTTTGTTCTGAGCATTTACATTCTTAGATTTTTTACTAAACTGTACGCGACGAGAATCAAACGAGCTAGAATCAGGAGTGGTATTTAATTCAGAAACATTTAAATTTCTAGAATGTTTTTCATTCTGATGTTTAGCATTTTCTAATTTTCTACACAAATTAGACAGTTCAGACACAGATAAAACATCAACTAAAGCTAACTGAGTAATGTATTCAGGAAGTAAATTTTGTCTAATGATTTTTATTTTAGTAACCTCACTAGGGCATTTACTTAATCTACTAAAAAGATTCTCTAAAGTTGCTATAAAAATTAAAATACTTTCATTTTTTCGCTGTTTATAAGATTTAATTTGTGACCAAATATTATCATCATTATCTGGTGGTAAAAAGTCTTTCTTTAATCTTTCTACAAGAGATTTCCAATCTGCGACATGTTGTTTAATACTTCTATACCAAATAAAAGCATTACCAGTAAAAAGTTCTACTGCAGAAGAAAATAAATCTTGTTCACTAACTTTACGTGATTCAGAAAGCTCAGTAACAGTTTCTAAAAATGAAAATAAATCTTGAGGATTACCATTAAATTTAATAGGCCAGTCTGACACTGGACAAGGTTTAGCAACATAAGTAACAATAGGAGGCGGTACATTAATAACTGGTCCTGAAGGAACAGAACTAACGTTTAAAGTTTCATTAATGTCTGAAGTTTTGACAAGCAGGTCAGCTTCAAGTTGATAACAACTAGTATAAACATCAGTTTGAATAGTTTCTGCATCAGCACGATTTTCATCTAAAATTATTCTCTTGATTCTACCAGCCAAATGCGCAAGACGAGATCTTATAACTTTGAACATTGAATCATTTACTCCACCCTCAAATTCAGAAATTGACAAGGAAATTGAATCTAAAGTTGCTTTAATTTCTGAAATTTCTTGATCAAAAGAAACAGGATAATCTTCCATATTAACTAAACAAAAAGGGTTATTTACTTCTCTACTTAAAAGACCTGACAAAATTTTACGTTTACTGTCAACATTTTTAGATGTTTTAATACCCCTAATAAGAAGTTCGTAATCTAATTCTACTTGTCGTAAATGATTAACTTTAAAAGATTCTTTCTCCATTGTAATTCAGCTATATGAAATACTAAAGACTAAATGATTCAGAAAAACTTACTAATTTTAACAAAAAGCTGTTATGATTCGGCGCAAACTATCAGAAAGAAAATATGTTCAATGTCAAAACCAAAAAAGATTCAAGTATTCGAAACAAATTCCAAAATTTTATGAAATACTAACAGTGCTACCCTGTATACTGAAATTATGTCCACTCTGTATATTCAAAATATAACCATACCTGTATATTTAAATCAAAATCGAAACGTCAATAAAAAATGTAGTCAGAAATACGTATTAAGTTATTTATCTGGGTTTTAAATAGATAAACAAACACCCTCAAGAATTTATAAAACAAAAAAATTGCTGTTGAACTGAAATTATTAGAATTTAATTACAGAAATAATGAAAATAAAATTTCAAAACTATAGTCTTTGCCTTATAGAAAATTTATCTGAGCCTAACAAAAATTATTTTACAAAGTCTACCAAATAAGTGAAGCAAATTAAATTAAATTGAGCCAATTAAACTAAGTCGAGCCAATTAAACCAAGTAAAGCCCCACGTGACAGGGCGTCATATTCTTTATTCTTCTATTTGTGTGACGACTTTTTCTGTCATCACTCAAACAGAAAGAAAAAGGTATCCGTTGCTCAGGGTTAGAGGAGAGCTGGGTTCGTAGGTAAGGCTTGTGACCTGTGGTGACTTAATAATGTTGTTAAATAATAAAATAAAAGTAATAATGTATAGGCTGCAAAGATTCTAAAATTGATGTTAAGTATTCAAATAGTAATGGTCAAAGACAGTAAAAAGGGCGCCACTTACTTTGGGTATGAAAAGGTAAAGTAAGAAACCAGTAAGAAAATTTGACCATGAAATAGCTAAAATAAAATAATCAACAGCAATAAGGGTCTATTATGTTCATCAAGAATAAAAGTCAGAACAAAAGTCGAAAAGTCAGATATAACTATCCTACGTTGAACATTTATTTAAAAACGAACACAATTATCAATCAGTTTAAACCCAGTTTCAATTATCCCAATGAAATCGTTAGTTACTTTAAGTAAACTCAAATTTAGTTAGAGTTCTCTCCAGTATACTATACTACGTAATATATAAACAGGTGAAATTTATGTAAGTACCAATACGATGATGTTTCGAAACAAGTCGTGTACAATAACCTTCAAAAATGAATCCGTGTTAGCGATTCTCACATAAAAGATCATACTGAAGTAAAACGTACCGTTAAGGACAAAGCATGACTTATAATGTTAACTAAAAGGTAAATTTTGACTATAATATATGGAATAAATGACAACAATTTACAGAGATATTCAAAGTATTATCTCAAAGTAAAAAAAATTTAGGGAATACCTTGTGTGTTGAACTTAGAACTTATCTGTATTTTTTTTTTAATTTTGTGACGTAGTGAACAGGTAGGCAGGCAGTCTCCAGACTAACGGAAGTGGATGTAGACTCTTCGATAGTAGCAGGAGTCTTCGATATCAGTAGAATAAATGTAGAGTCATAAATACTGTCTCAAAAGTGGTTACTCATATGCCAATTACTTATACGTCAATTTCTTATACGCCAGTTACTCTATATAAAAAAACTCTCAGAACAGTCACCGAATACAAAAAAATAACTTACGGTCTGAAAATCAGCTGTACACATTCCAAAATATAGCCAAACTATATGCTGATCCAAACCAGTAATGCACAATCAAACATTATCAAAATAAATAAAAAACGGGAATAACTGAAATAAAATTTAGTTAGACATGGCGATACAAAATGGTAGATACACTTACTGTGATCTTATTCCAGGAAAAGGCCAAAAAACACGAACTAGGCTCTGAACAGTATATTATACAGGATTTCAAATCTCCACTTTTGGATACCCGTGCCTTTACTGTTAGGAAAAGTGTTTCAGAAAGCCCTTTTTTTCTCTGAGATTCGTCGGACGCTGAACCACGCGTCTTTTTCTGATCTCAATCTCTCGGAAAAAACCTCCTTTCTCCTTTTCGCAAAACGGAAGTCTTCGAATTGACAGGTCATATGACCAAAGGCGATTAAGTGAACTCTATCGTCTATACTGAATGAAATTTGTTTTTATGGAAAGGAACCGCTACCTGTACTGAATGAAGTTTAACATCTAGCGAATAGATGGCGCCAGCAATATTAAAATTTGGAATTTTATAAAAAGAAAAATAAAACGCTACACTTTTATCTTATTGATTTTAACTGACTGTTTTTATGTACTTAAAGAGGCTTGAAAAAGACATATACTGTCGAAACGTCGCCATAAAATAAAAAATAATGAACAAAATCTAGAAACATCTTTGCAACCCCAACGACCTAAAGCCAAGAGTGAAAAAAAAAAATTATAGATTTATTTATAATGTCTTTGGGTTTATTTTTGATTGATGCCTTCTAACGTCAAACGAGGCACGTTTGTATAAAGGTAAATTATGTGCAATTAACTTATTTTCATTCAAAAAATACGTACAACTTAACAAGTATAGCTAGAGACGTGAGAAATATAAAATAACACGCGACCGGTGCTATCCCCAAGTCTCTTCCTATATTTGTACAACTGCAGTTGTTCTATGTCCACGGAATATTTTGAACTAATTATTAAGAAACTCCCTGTATATTTTGTAGGTCCTCTAAAAATATGTTCTCCAAATTTTTTTTTCTCAAAACCTGTGCGATTTTTTACGAGCGAAACTAGGCGTTCTTTTACAAAGACAAATGGTTTTCGGTGGAGTTGAAAAATATTTATACTAAAATTTATGCTGGAGGGAGGTAGTTTTCACCCTTCCCGTATATTTTTGGTGATTTTTGTGGAAGTTCAAAACACAGATACCCAGAATCTCATTCAAATCGGAACAGCGGTTCTTAAAATATCCGTGTTTATTTTTTTAAAGTTTGATGCCCTCTAGCGGACAAACGGAGCACTTTTGTTTAGAGGTAAATACTATTCAATGAACTTAATTTGGTTCTAAAAATACGTAGTAGTTCTATGTCCACGGAACATGGGGACACCCTGTATTGGAGCGATTAATATATTCTTTGTGGTTGCTTACATCATATCTTTCTTGAGCGACACGATTATTAATGACCTACTGATACTACTAAGGAATATTTAGGAGAACTAAATCTATTTTTCTTTTAAGGTCACGGGCATACCAACTACCCTACTTTAAACTCCCTACACTTAGGTAGGAGGCCGTTCGAGAACACTTTCAATGCCTACGCGCCTAGCAAGCCAAAGAGGAGTTCACCTACCAGTAGTACAAGTAGTTACAAAACAGAACCTCAAGGTAGGTTGAGAAATTCTATATTAGCTATAACCTAATGAGTAAACGTCATTTCATTTACTTTGAATGTGGTAGACAATGATTCGGTATTGAAGACCAATATGGAAGAACAACCATTCGTAAAACGCATCAATACGGGTATTCTAGTAGACAACGTCATGCTTGACTGTACCTAACTTCTTCACGGATGAATGCTCGGCTCTAGTATCTATTAGTGTATTATGTACTAGTGTTGATTGAAGAAATAAGAAGATGTCCAACCTTATGGGCGATTCCGTGGCCCTAAACCTGTCCGAGATGTAGCTGGAGTTACCGTAAGCCTGCCCGAGAATTCCGAGATTTAGTTTAGCTCTGCGCCGCTGCGCGCTGATAGTCGTTTACAGCGCAGCTTGTAAAGAATATTGTACCGCAGTCCTGTTGTCAGACGACAGAGTGAGTGGTTGCCGGAGAGAGTGTTGCCAGAACCAGCGGTGGATGGGGAAGTGGAAACCGGCCCGAATCTACAAAAACAAAATGACCATAACGAAGAAACAGATTTTATTTATTAATATGCAGGGTGTCCCAGAAATAAGTGCAAGTATTTTAACTGGTAGTATATTTTGGCCTCAGAAATACACCTATGAGTTTTTTTTACGAAAATTTGGAATTTTTTGAAAAAAAAATTGGAATTTTTTTTTTATTTTTAAGTTAAAAAACATAATTTCTTGATAATATGGCAACATAGGTAGTAGATTAAATTTACATGAAAGAAAATCCACAAAACATCTAAAGGTTCTCAAAATTTAAGCAAAAAAACATTTTTTGTTTAAATTTTCAAAGTAAAATAACTCGGGTATTTTGGAATTACTTGAAAAACGGTACCTAACTAAAGCGATTTGGTTAGCCAAATCTACACTCCTTAAAATATTTGCACTTATTTCTGGGACACCCTATATAAGTCAGGGTGATTTTCGCTGGGACGAAAAATCTCTTTTGCCTCCGATTTTTTTAAAAATATTGAAATTTTGTCTTGATCAAAATTTTTATAAAGATCAATATCAGATCGGACATCTGAATTTTTACTACAAAATAGCTCAGTTTCACAGAGTTCTACTGTTTTATTTCTATTATCGATAACGGTAATTTGATCTTGAATATGCTACGATTTTCAATCACGATTTTCAGAAACTTTTAAGACTTCCTGTTTCGTTCAGTTCAGCTGGCCCAATCCTCTATGAAATACATTATTTTTAGCTTTTCAGGTATATACTTTCTTACACATTGTAGAAAGAAATTCTCTCTTTTCTGGTACAGCAGCAGCCTCGTCGTGTATACGTGTTTTAATTTTTGGTATAATTCTCATCATGTAACTTTTACTCGTTTCTACATTTGGCATCTTGTCAGGGACGCGCCAAGTATTTTCGGCGCCGTCGTGCGAAATAAGGGTAGTCGCCTTTCTCCAATATTATAATATTAAGCCAAAATTTCCAATTACCAGCGGCGCGGCGCTCGACATTGGTGGATAATATATTTTCACCACTGGCGTTCATAGATAAAAGTATTACTTAAATTTTATGGTAATTTGTTGATAAGTTCCAAAAAATGGTTTTATTATTTTTTAAAGTCAGTGACCGCAGGCGCTTTTAGGGCTTTGGCGCCGTCGTGCGCTGCACGACCTTGCCCATATGAACGGCGCGTCCCTGCATCTTGTATGATAATGCCATGACTCTAACGAAAAAAACCTAGGCAATACTTAGGCAGTGGATATAAACGTTTTCTGAGGTAGATGATATGTTACGCTCCATAATAAGAATATTTGGATTTTGGAGACATATATTAATATTTTATTATCTAATCTAGTTTAAATCTTATTTAATTCTTCTCTGCTGTTTCACTAATTTTTAGTAAAATTAAAATCTAGCAACATTTAAAACAACAACTTAGATTTGACTTTTAGTTCTCAGACTTGGCTTTTAGTCTGTCCCCAATTCAAACCAAGCATAGAGATAGCCATCTTCATGTTAATCATGTAATAAATCTTCATGTAATAAAAGAATAGTGGTAAAACTATACAGGATGAGTCTTAAATAAGTGCAAATATTTTCAGGGGTTTCGACCCGAGGAACACGTCTATGAAGTTTTTGTAAAAAAAAAGATGTTTCACCGCAAATGTTCTCACGGTATATTTTCTTAATCTTTGATATTATGGCACAAAAGAGATGCAAATACAGAAAAATTTCGGTGATTTTTTTTTTAAATAAATCAATTTTTTTAGGGGGGTCCGCCCCGGGCCCCGTCTTTTAGGGGACCTCCAAATCTAAATATGTAATTTTTTATTCAACTGGCAAACAAGGCCAATATGTGTTCAGTAGCTATAAAGCAGTTTGTAGGTGGAGTATGCAAACCATACGTATACGCCAACTATAAACATTATAAATGCTAGAAGATATTTACTTAATTATCAGGCCCCAGTAATTGTCAATGGCATTTTCTATTTAGGAAATTAAATCAAGGGGTAATTTTCTTTGTTTAAAATATCGAATAATTATTATTTTTTATATATTTTGAGACTGAATTTATTTATTTTAGCTTTTAAGTTATTTTTCAATGGTTTCATTATTTATTTTTACTGAATAAACATTTTAAATTACAACCAATGCACAACATAACTTGTATTCTAGCTTCATTACTGATGATGAGCAGTGAAGTCTTTAGTATAACGGGGGTCACGGGTCTGAGACAGCGAAGGGGCCCCTCGGATCAAAATCGCGATATTTTGTCGCGGTATTTCCCTGGAAGCATTTTTAAGAAAAAAATATTTAAAGTTTTTGGTCGAAAAAAACTACCTGTCAAAAAAATTTGTACAGCCTAAAAGTCAAATTTAGTGATTATCACAGCCCCTGTGACATAAAGAAAATACATGTGACTATCTATTTCCAAAATTAAATTGTTCAAATGTCATATAATAATGGCGGTAGCTGTCATGGAATTGAGCGATTAAAAAATTATCATAAATAATTTTTTTTCAAATGGAAACACACTTTATTTTCAGTAGTGAAAATGTTTTCCAATTCGTTACGTTTTAACTAGACATATTCCTATACCGAAAATAAATCGTTTTTAAGTTATTTAAGATTTAGTTTGAAAACGTTTATTTTTTTTGATTTTATCTAGCTTCCTTTGATTTTGTCAAACAGTCAGATAATTTATTTCCATCTGTCAGAAAATTAATTATTTGAATTTCCTATATTATAACTACTGCTGCTTTAAAAGTTTAAAAAGTGTATTTATATAAATCTATCTCGTATTTTCGTTCTTTAATAATATCTAATAGTTGATATTTTAATAATATACCGTACGATCGAAAGAAAAACAGCGCAAAGTTAGCTTGGAAATGATGATCGATAATATACTGTCATAGGCTACTGGTTAAAATCAAGAAAAATATATTAAATAACTCAAAAACGATATATTTTAGGTACAGGAACATGTATAGTCAAAAAGTAACAAGTTTTAAAAACGAAAGTAACGAAAGTCTTTTCACGAGTGAAATAAAAGAAGTGGATTTCTATTTGAAAAAAAAATATTTATGATAATTGTTTAATCGCTCAATTCCATGACAGCAACGGTCATTATTATATGACATTCGGACAATTTAGATAGCCACATGTCTTCTCTTTATACAGTGGCTGTGGCAATCACTAAATTTGAGGTTTAGGCTATATACATATTTTTGACAGGCAGTTTTTTTCCTCCAAAAATTATAAATATTTTTTTTTTCTCAAAAACGGTTAACGTTAGGTAGAGAGTGTTTAATATCAAAATTCTCATAACATTTTACAGAGAATTTAAGTATGTAATAAAAAATTGGGTCACCCATTTAAAATAAGAAAGTTGCTGTCAACTTCCGGTACTTCCGAAAGTGCCGCAATATTGAAAATATTTTTAATCGATAGATCTCATTGTGAAACAATGATGCACAAAATCTCATGTCAAGATATTGTAGTTCTCTAGAAACTTCTAACGCTGGCTCAGCCTGGGACACCCTGTATAAATACTTGAATTTTGTCAACCATTATACATACGTCATTCAATTTTTTCAAAATGTCCATTAGAAGTATATCATTATCTAAACAGACCGGGGGCCACATTTAGCTTCGCCGCCCCGGGCCCCCGACAGGCTTAGTCCGCCACTGGCTGTTATTTCATATGTAAAATATTATGGTAAATGTCAATAATCGTCATTTCCAACCAAACTAAACGACTTTTTTCGTTCATACGACCGAAAGACCTTCTTAATCTACCCTGAACCAATTAAACACACTTTTCAATTATACACGACCCGATCGTGTAAAAAACTAATACACACCCTACCTTACTTAAAAGGGCCCTATCACCAGCGACAAGAACAGGGGAAAAAAGGCACGCTGCGGCAGATTTATTTAGACCAAAACAGGCATTAAAACCAATAAACCAGAGAGGTTTGTCGGAGCGGGTTCCAGTCGTTTGGGTTCGGTAGCAGCGGCCGGCTTCGAATCTGCAAATCATCCCGTAATGTGATTTTAATGCGGACAGTCGGTACGACGTTCAGCTTGAATAGGTTCTGGGGTGCGACTTTGTTCAAGTTAGCAACCGATCGTTTAGAAGCGATGTCGAAACCAGATCGGTACTATGTTCATTGCAAAACTAGTGTCGCTCAAATGCTGCAAAATATGGTATCACTATCACACTCTTGCACACGTGTCTAGACTGTCGCCTCGCCACAAAGCGAGAAATCAGAATATCGCTACAAATCGATGTTGCTACTGAACATAGTGCATCAAGCTACAAATTACTTTGCTATCGCTTTGAAACATGAACAAAGTTGCACCCCTGGCGCTGTATATTCAGTTTTCATCGGGAACCTTAGATAAAAATCGTAGCAATGTAGTAAAATTTAATATACATTAAGTTTACTTACTCACAGAGCTGCAACAAGTCAGTTTTAAAAAGACTTAAGTTTAAGTCAATTTCAACATAAAGTT